ACGATCCGGAAGGCGCTCGACTTTAACGGCTACGTCAACATCTTCCTCGGCACGCTCATCACGTTCTGCGTGCACTCGTCGACGGTGGTCACCTCGACCTTGACGCCGATGGCCGGCCTCGGGCTCATCACGCTCGAGCAGGTCTACCCGATCGTGATTGGCGCCAACCTCGGCACGACGGTCACGGCGCTGCTCGCGTCGTGGGTCACCGGGTCGCCGGACGCGGTCGCGATTGCCCTCGTGCACTTTTGGTTCAACATCTGGGGCATCTTCCTCTTCTACCCGATCCCGATCACGCGCAAGCCGATTCTCGACTGGGCGCGCCGCCTCGCGTTCTACAGCGCGCGCTGGCCGATGGTCGCGGGTCTCTTTTTGTTGTTGCTCTTTTTGATCGTGCCGGGCATCGCGCTCGCCTTGACGTACCTCTTCAAGGCCGGCACGGTCGGCCTCGTCTTTGGCATCATCATCGTCGCCGGCGTCGTCTTGAGTATTGCGGGCTTTTACTTTTGGTACCTCAAGAAGGGCGGTCGCGAAGTGTGGCACGCCTTCTTGGAGCGCAAGGGCGAGGCCCACGCCGCCAAGCACGCGCACGCGCACCCGGCGGCCGACAAGCCGCTCGTTTAATATCCTGGGACCGGCGACGCATGTCGATCTCCAGTCGTTTGTTTCCATTTCATATACAGTGTGTGTTGCAATCTTATTGACAGACTCTATTTTTCTGAGTTGCCGTTTCAGGTGTCAGGTGCGTCTGAAACAGTGTTTTTGCCCATCACAAACAGCGGTTTCAACGCAAACACTGTTTACAAAATCAAGGCAGCGTTTTATCGCACCGGTAGTAGGTAATGGGATGGAATATTGAGACGTAGCGTGTCGGTACGATGCCGCGAGCGCACTGTGACTGGCGAGTAGGAGTGCCGCTGGACGACGGGCTGCATAAGACTAAGATGAGGAATTGGAAACGGCGCACGGCGACTTGGCAGTAGTCGGCAGGTTGATACCAAACTCGCGCAAGAGGTCGAGAAGTGTTGCCGTGTCGTCGGCGAAGAGGCCAAGAAGCTTTGCGTCAATGGAGGCAACGTCGAGGAGGCCGCCGTGCGAGAGAAGGCAGCGTGCGACGCCGAGGCGTTTTCTTCTCAGAGCTGCGATCACCGCTCTGCGCGGCACCGAGACCCGGCCTGAGGCCAAAAGCTTCTCCACGATGTCCACGTTGCCGCGGCGCAGCGCAGCAGCGAGCGCGCCTTCGACTTCAATGCTGTCGTCGTCCAGTGCGAGGAGGTACGCGACGATGTCTCGTTGGGCGTAGACCGCTGCCGCCAAAATGGTGTACTGGCGCGGCGCAACGCCAGCTACCTCGAGCAGGAAGCGGACGACGTCGAGGTGACCACGCTGAATAGCGTGATCGACGGCGTCGATGGGCATAGTATGGCCATCGCGATGGAGCATCTGTACCAAGGCGAGCATGCCACTGCTGGCTGCCTCGTTCACGAGCTCAGCAAAGT